ACTACGCAAATCCTAGAATACATAGGAGGGGGAAAAACAGTTATAAACATTAATTCAAAGTTAGACCCAGTAGCCCCAGACATTTTGTCATACAATCACTTTTTGATGGAGCCAATTGACCAGTAAAGGCTGATAAATGGCCTAACCATCCGTCCCATTTGCAGAGATAGTACCAAGGTTATAAGTCAAATGTCAAGGACGGCTTATCTGGGCTTCAGGTTTAGGAGAGTGCACCTAGGCAGTGTTGCAACTTTGGATGTTTTACATCCAGTTTTAGATGCTTTTCCTTGCATTTAGATGGCGTTTTTGACGTTTAGATTTTTTCTAAATGTTTTTCTTTTGGAGTGAATTTTTCAAATCTAACCTAAGAAACAGGATGAAATTTGACCTCTTAAATGCTATCTTGGCAATAAAATTTTGCATGATAAGAGTAGGAAAAGGCTGTTCCACTTATCAGCTCCCTGATTGGGTATTAAAAGAAATTGGAACAGCTAAAGCATACCAGAGTCATTTTGGATCTGAAGCTTCAACTTCATCATCCACGCTAAGTTTATCCAGTGGATCTTGTAAAGCAGACTTCAGTAAAGACGAGGATATGATTCTATAGGGTAAGTCATATCAATTGCTATGTAATTTGTGACTCTTTCCATTTGGATGTTTTTTCTAGATGTTTTTATATATATTTGTTGACCCCGTTTTGGATATTTTTTGTCAAAGAAAAGTGGCAACACTGCACCTGCGGTTGTCGTCTGCCTTGGACAGCAGTGTTGCCACTTTGGATCTTTTATATCCAAATTTAGATCTTTTTCATTGCATTTAGATACTGTTTTTGACGTTTAGATCGTAAATATTGTTCTAGATCTTTTTCATATGGAGTTAGATATTTTATAAATTTCTTCTCTTTCATTGTCAATTTAATAATTACTGTGTAAAATATTTACTACAATATTTTTGTTTTTGTCTGGCACGTACATTGTGACAACTGCCATTACTTGAACTTTGAACTCTCACTGGGGTCAACGCACAAATATCTGGCAGCCCCGGTACTGATTAATAAAAACGCGCGTAAATCATACTAACTTTGTTTCAACCGTATCCTCACTGTGCTGACTTTGCGTTTCTTTTTCATGTGATTTAAAAAAAATAATTGCTCACCTTCTTATGTGGCTTTTACTTTGAAAAAACTTTCAACATGCCAGAAGTAAAGTATGAGCAAAAAATTTGGAAAGAGTGGTTGCATGATGACAAAATTAAAAACTGGGGATATGACCAAAGCTTGTTGTAAGTACTGCAAGAGTGAAATTAAAGCGAAAATACAAAACTCAAAGAGTCATGCAGAGACTAAAAAAGCATAAAACTGAAGTTTCATTTAAAGATATTACACCGCTGACATCTGTTTTCAGAACTATACTGATAAATGAATCATCAAAAGTTGAAGTATCAGTCGCAATGTTTTAATTTGTCACTGCGCAATTCAAACTGTGACCATTTGATCGATTTGTAAAAAATCTTGGACTAGTTCAATTTGAAAAGTGTGATGTAGAAAGTATAGTTTAGAAACTGAAGGACCTTTTAATCAGCAAACAGTTGGGCCTGAAGAATTTGACTGTAATTGGTACTGATAATGCCTCAGTGATGGTTGGTATAAACAATGGCGTTTATGCCAAGTTGAAGGAAGCTAACTCATCGTTAATACTTATAAAATGTATGCGTCATTCATTGCAGCTAGCATTATCACATGTTTCATCTAAATATTTACCAAGGAATTTTGAATACCTTATTGCTGAAACACTTTACTGGTTCTCCAAATCATTTGTCAGACAACAGCTGATAAAGTTAAATTACTTGATGATCTCACCTTGCTATTTCACTCGGTAAAAGACTGGTGTTGCCAACTTCTAAAGCTGATTTGCTCACTTGCACTATAAAGAGCTATTTGGCTCCTAAGCCACACCTTGGATATTAAATCGAATAAAAAAACTGATGATTTAAAAACAAAAGGACTGTTAACAGAAAATGAAGTGAACAACTTAAGAAAACGCTGTCAAGATTTCCTTATCTCATTATTGAAGCAACTGAAGCAGAGACTTCCTGAAAATCTAGATGTTTTGAAAAATATTTCACTTTTTTCTGTGAGCAACATTCTTTAGCCAATAAAGGACATACCTAAATGTTGTAAAGTTATGAAATTTTAGGGGCTACTGATAATAGTGTCGCAGAAGCAGAATATCAGTTAACCAAAATAAAGTTAGCTGAATGGATAAACAAAACAGATACTAACAGCTTTTTGGAGTGAAGTGAGACAATTTAAAGATGCCTCATCAAACAGTCTATTCTGTAAGCTCTTTAAAGTGCCATGTTTGCCATGATACTACCCCACTCAAATGCTGACGTAGAAAGAGTTTTCAGTGCTAGGAATTGTATCAAATCTAACCTAAAAAACAGGATGAAATTTGACCCCATAAATGCTATCGTGCCATTAAAATTCGGCCTGATGAGACTAGAGAAATAAGCCCACTGTTCCACTTATAAAGAAATTTGAACAGCTAAAGCATTCCAGGGTCATTTTGGATCTGAAGCTTCAACTTCATTATCCAATCTAAGTTTATCCTGTGGATCTTGTGAGGTAGACATCAGTGAAGGTGAGGACATGATTATGTAGGGTAAGTCATAACAAAAGCTATGTAATTGTTGACTTTTTCAATATGGATATTTTTTCTAGATCTTTTCCACGCAGATTTAGATCTTTTTAGATATTTTTTGACACCGTTTTGGATATTTTTTGTCAAAGAAAAGTGGCAACACTGTTGGACAGCTTCTGCAGGAATCGCTTCGTTTGTGCATTTCTCTCTGCGTGATTATATTTGTCAGATAAATTTCTTAGGTAACTTTTTTTGTTTAGAAGTTGCTAGTTATTATCGAAACCGAAAGGACCACAGCAAGTTCAGCTTATATGTTTAATAAATAATAATATAATTCATTTAATTAGTTAATTAAAACTAACTGTGATTAATTTGTGAATATAAATATATAAAAAGTCGACACCAGAGTCATTTTTTGAATGGCTTATTTCGATGTATCTCGTCATTTGCATACTACAGTAATAGTTGATTAAATTTAGTAAATAAAGTAATTCTAATCAAAATAAAAAGTAAAGATCACTTTTCATGCCTTAGGTGCATCGCTGGCATTTGGGAAGAGCATCCCCTATTTTTACAGACCATCGGCACTAGGTGGGTAATGTCAGAATTACGCCAGCCGTCTTTAGACTTTAGTAGTTACTTCCCCAGGACAGAAACAAGAATGTCCTATTACTTTATTTAAATGTTAAAAAATTAGTTAGGTTCTTGTGTTTTTTGTTTTGTTTTTGCGCCAACTTACTAATGATCTCTGTCTAATTTGGGAAAACCCCCATCTTATCACAACATGAGATATTAGACTGTCCCGTGACCTATGACTTGGGAGCAACAACAACAAAAAAGTACCCTAAATTATATTTACAGTAACTGCTTATTCAAATCGCTTTGAAAAATCTATATTAATATAAATATACAAAAGCTTTAACTTCTGCCTTGTTATACTACAGTGGAGCTAAATCCCTCAACTAACTCATTTCAATCACTTACGCTGACTACTGCCACTGCAATTCACTCTAATCTGGTATTTACCTGTTGCAATTTCTTGGAGACTTGTAGGTATCTCTGTCTGTCTGTCTCTCACTCTCTCTGTTTCTTTCTATCCCCCTTTCTGCAAAAGAGGGGGGGGGGGGAGGAGAGGGCATGGTTGAGGGAGTTCCAGAGATAGGACTATAGTTAGGCTTCTAACACACTTTCTCAGTGTTTATGTCCTATACAGTGCCAGATGTCAAATCAGTACTTTTGTATCGGGCGGAAACAGGAAGAACAACTAAGGCACTTACTAATAAACTACAGACATTCATAAACTGGTGCCTGCTCGGAATAGAGGTAATTAAATGGTATGATAGAATCACTAATGTAGAGCTTTGGGAGAGAACTAAGCTGTGGACCAAGAGGTGAAGAAAAGATGCTGGTGTTGGATAGGACACACATTGAGAAAACCGGAGAACAATATAACTAGAACGTCTTTGCATTGGAACCCACAGGGGCATAGGAATAAAGGAAGGCAAAAAAAAACACACGTGGAGAAGAGAGCTGGAGAATGAAGTTAGAAAGATGGGGAGGACATGGGAAGAGCTGCATGCGAAAGCAAAGGATAGAACGACTTGGCGTGAGTTGGCTGAGGGCCTGTGCTCCATTGGGGGCTAGAAAGGCAGAAGAAGACAGTGCCAGACACCTGGTTTTGTTGCACCATAAAATGGATGTCACTTAATTTGATTGTTTATGATTTCTTAAAATGGTTGTCACTGAATTTGATGGTTTATGATTCCATAAAATGGATGTCTCTGTATTTGATTGTTTATGATTCCATAAAATGGATGTCGCTGAATTTGATTGTTTATCTTTCAATAAAATGGATGTTGCTGAATTTGATTGTTTATGATTCCATAAAATGGATGTCACTGTATTTTATTGTTTATGATTCCATAAAATGGATGTCACTGTATTTTATTGTTTATGATTCCATAAAATAGAGGTCGCTGTATTTGATTGTTTATGATTCCATAAAATGGATGTCACTGTATTTGATTGTTTATGATTCCATAAAATGGATGTCGCTGTATTTGATTGTTTATGATTCCATAAAATCGATGTCACTGAATTTGATTGTTTATTATTCCATAAAATCGATGTCACTGTAATCGATTTTGAATTTTGATAATCCATACGGTGACATCCTTACTTTGATAGACATAAATATATATTATGTTTACAATTGTACTTCCTGAATTATGTAATAAAATGAGATATTTTAATTATGTCATTTATAATGTAATCTAAAACAGTCACTACATAGTCTTATTCATAATTACATTGCGTATTTTCTTTTCATTCCAGGGAAGTTGTGGCATAAAAAACGACATGGCAGCAATAAATGCAGATCTGTCGGTTAATGGGTATGATTTTAAACTTGTATTGTTGTTTTTTTCAAAACATTTCTTCTTCTTCTTCTTCTTCGCGTTCACCGGCTGTAAACTCTGGTGGAAATTTCTGGTTGTTCGTCCACTTCTGGACTGCAGTCCTGTTCCAGAACTTGAATGTTGCTTGTGCATCCGTTTGACTGATCTAATTTGTATGCAGACTGTTGGTCTCTTGCCTCTCAGGCAGATGCACTCCGACTTCAAAGGAAGCTCCCAATTAGTCAACTCTTACGACATGCTTTTAGGTAGGCAGTGGGTCTATTCTTGTTTTCCCTATAACACGGCCCAGGAACCCACACGGGGAATAACATTTAATTGTTCTTGATAGCCTGATTAAATAATGTATCCTGACAGTCAGACTAATGAGGCTTATCAACTGATAAATAAGTACACTCGTACCTCAGAACTCAGAGGCCTCAAAATTCAAAACAGCTTGGAATCCAAATGCAAATTTTAAGTCCATTTTGCCTTGGAACTCGAACCCTGCCTTTGGAACTGAACACCTAGCACGTGCCGTGCTGATCATGTGACTGAGCTAACATTGCAAGAGTTTCAGCACCTTCACCAGCAGCAGAAACAATAAAATATGGGAGATTTTTTTCCAGGGAGAAAGAGGGAGAAGCTGGAAGGATCAGCACTGCTGAAATCCAAGATCTTTTGACCACGTGGTCAAAAATGCAAGACGCTGTTGAGATGTGGAACCCTGAAAAGCCTTAGTTAATAGGTGTGGTAGCGTAATTCAATCATAACATTATCAAAAATTGTAGAAAAATTTTAAAAAATGGTCATTACACCAAAGCACTCTGGAACACTAGCTGTCAATAAACACTGGTGATCCCAGTCCCTCTACACATGATGAACAACTATGAAATGAACAACTATGAAATGAACAACTATGAAATGAACAACTATGAAATGAACAACTATGAAATGAACAACTATGAAATGAACAACTATGAAATGAACAACTATGAAATGAACAACTATGAAATGAACAACTATGAAATGAACAACTATGAAATGAACAACTATGAAATGAACAACTATGAAATGAACAACTATGAAATGAACAACTATGAAATGAACAACTATGAAATGAACAACTATGAAATGAACAACTTTGAAATGAACAACTATGAAATGAACAACTATGAAATGAACAACTATGAAATGAACAACTATGAAATGAACCACCAAAAAATATTCCTGATGTTATCCTGATAAGTGACTCACCTTCAAAACAATAATCTCTGTAAATCCTCCTTCCTCCTCAAACTTCAATGTGCTATGTCACCATTTTGATCAAGATGCAGTAAATATAATGTTTTTATTTTTTTTTTAATTTATGGATTGTTTGTATTAAAAAATATGTTCATGTGTTAATATATTTATAGTCTACTGTAATTAGTAAAATACATTTAAAAATGTGAGTTTGTTAGACCCTGGAATAGATTTGGTTTGAATTACTTTTAGTGTGGAAAATTTGCCATGAAACTCAAACAGTTCAGAATTTGTACGCTGTCTCTGAACCGATTATCTTTGAATTTAGAGGCGCCACTGTGCATAAAATCTGAGGAAAAATTATTAATTTTTGATAAATTGTTTGTCTTCTTATCTTTATCTCAGTTTTTCCCCTTTAGCATCAGATTTTAACTCTTTGAGTCCCAAGGAACGCATCATACGTTTATAGGTTCCTACCTAGAAGCCCAATAAACGCATGATGCGCCGATTTTATTACTTTATTTACTACCCCCTGGGCCTGTGATGCTAAACACCCTGGGACTCAAAGAGTTTATGGCTGCAAAAAATGTTGTGCAGGACTGATTGCATCCGTCGTATCAAGAGGACCGCAAAGGATAGAACAAAATAGAGAACTAGACTACGAGCCCTTTGTGCCGTATAATGGTGCAATATCTTCTTCTTCGTGTTCACCGGCTGTAAACTCTGGCGGAAAGTTCTGGTTGCTCATCTACTTTTGGACTGCAGTCCTGTTCCAGAAGCTGAGTGTTGAGTGTGCATCTGTTTTACAGATCTGACTCATTTGTATGCAGACTGCTGGTTCCTTCCTCTCAGGCAGATGCACTCCAACTTTGAAGGAACTCCCAATTAGTCGACTCTTAGGAAATGCTTTTGGGTAGGCAGTGGGTCTGTTCTTGTTTTCCTTATAACAGGGCCTGATAACCCTCACGGGGATGGTACAGTATGATCTTGATGATGATGATGATGAAAAGGAATAGTCTTGAGAACTTGGTTACAAATATCTCTAGTGTTAAATAAGGCTTGTAAGTCACTAAACCCTAGTCAGGAAGTTGACAAATGTGTATCTTAGTTTCCTAATGAGGAACTCTCTAGTGTTTCAGTGTTTACATAAATGCATCTTACATTGTTCACAGCTATACCTTTGAAGACATCCAAACTTTGGCTAAGGAGATTCTGAAGCACACATCTCTGCGTCCAAAAATTGCACTTATTTGCGGAACCGGCCTAGGAGGTATTGCTGAAGTGGTGGAGAATCCTATCACAGTGCCTTACGAATCTATACCAGGATTTCCTGTTAGCACAGGTATCTCATTTTTAAGAATGACAATTCTTCATTGCAGCATTTTAAAATAAAGTATGTGGCTCTGTGGTTTCAGTCACAGGCATATCGGAAAGTTAAAGCCATTGTGTTTTGTATAAGGAGATACTCCCTGCATCATCTCTGGGACTGCTGATTTTAAGGATCCTCATGCAAGACTACTTTTACACGTCCTCGTTGCATGCTAGGGATAAGGCCTATATTGGACTGAATTGAGCTGGCAGGGAATCTTGGAGTTGGTGGCTCCCATGTGTTCAGAAATCCTGTGTCCAATCACAGAATGTACTATAGCGTGACAGCCAAGGCTTGGCAGCCTGGTCATCGGATGTTCTACTGAATGACAGATTAGGTTCAGATCTGAGACCTTCAGAAGATTCAAATGTCCACTGTCATTGGTTCCACTCGTCCTAGTGTCTGGAACATAAAGGGAAGCCATGCGTGTGCTGTGCTGATGCAGCCACATTAAAGGTATCTAATGTCTGAGGAAGACTTGCCTGTCTTTGTGGTCATCAAAGTTTCAAATCTCTAGACTGCTTCCTGTTGATGTCTAAAGAGCGCAGCCTGTCATGAGTGGGTAGCTTAACTTTCGGATGTGAGGTTAAGCAGTCATATGCAAGATATGATAATTCCTTGGGTGAGCCTAGGACCAGAGCGTCATATGTCGATTCTTCATTTGTAGAAGCCCTCTTGGCGTGTGGGGAATGCCTGTATTTGGTCCATGACTTTCCTTGAAGCCTAACTAGTCTGCACCTGGCAGGCCTTTGATGGGTTCTCTGGGAGACACCTGTAGTCAAAAGGGACTGAGGGATAAAGTGATTTTAGCATAGTTGGGTCAACGTCATGTCCCATGAAACAGTGAATACAGGCATCGTATAGATAGAATCGACGTCTTTTTCAGTCAGGGTACAAATGCCCAAGTGGTAAGGATTACTACACTATACATAAATAAGCCATAAAACAGATGTACATGCAAAACTCAGGAACAAAGTCAAAGTCTAAATGGCTGAACAACCAGGATATTTTGCTGGAGTTCACATCTGGTGAGCGGCAACAAGCAAATATAATCAAGTATATACAAGATGGAAGAAAATAGAGGCTTTTTAACTGAACTACTGTAAAATAATTCTATAAGTCAAGAAGAAAAGAAATACTGACATCCTAAAACATATTAACATTAAGGGAAATTAGTTAGTTAGTAGAGAGCATTTTATCTCGGAAACTCAAATAGTTTGGCCATTTCAAGCTCTACGGCTGAGTGGGGAGGAAAGTAGTAGTACCAGGAAAGAGGGACAGGAGCCGACCAGCAAGAAGATGGGCACATGAAATAAGAGACACCTTGGGTAGGAAAGTACATGAGGCAGGAGAGCTTGTGAGAGACTGAGTTTGTGGCAGGCTGTGATGAGAGTAATGATCTGCCAAGGACCTGCTACATAAGTATGATTTACAAGAAATAGAAATGTATAGTATTAATAATAGCATATCTAATTCTTAAATAGTTTGAAATATATTTTCCTGTGAATTTTTTAATCTGAATGTTTTAAGACCCGTAAAGAAAGTAAAGGTTAGTAATACTACTGTAACCTACCATGAGAGTGGCTAAAAAATCTGCTTATAAACTACAAACATTCATCTCCTGACAAAATAGAAGAACCAAGATGGTATGAAAGAATCACTAAGGAAGAGCAAAGAGAGAAAACTAAATACATTTTTAAGAAAATCAAGAAGTGAGAAAGAGATGCAGGTGCTGGACAGGACACTCGTTTAGAAAACCTGGTAATAGTAAAACTAGAATATTCTTTCACTGGAACCCACACCCCTCTGATAGACACGCTGTCCCTTAACAAGCATGTTTTAAAAGGCGACTAATTATGAGTATGTTTCAATCAAATTTGTTAAAGATGTGTTTAGAGCTGTAGAAGAGTGGCAGAAAAAGAATGGACAGTTTTTCATGAAAAAGTTCAGGGACAACCTTCCAATGGGGGAATTCAGAGAAGAAACAGGAGAACTGGTGTGAGACAGACTATCACATCTCATAGAAAACTTTGGCTTACAGACCAGCTTGTCATGAATAATGGGCCTGGTTTCAAGTTGCTTCAAGGCCTAAAGTCTAGAACAGTGGTCTTCAACCTGGGGGGGAAGTTTCAGGGAGCGAAAGGGGTGGGGAATCAAGCAGTTTTGAAATTGTCAGCATTTGTGCTTGTAATAATGAAGATTTTCAGTTTAAACAATTATGAAAACATCAAAATAGTATTGCCAGCATGATGTGCGCAGTGATCTCCATTGTGCCTTGTCCAACACCAAAGAGAAAATAGTAGACAGGCTTGTCTGAACATTTCAAGACACCATGCTAATATATCAGTTAAATACTTCTTTGATTTTTATCTTTTTTCACAGTCACCAGCTGTAAACTTTGCCAGAAAGTTCTGGTTGTTCATCCACCTCTGGACTTAAGTCTTGTTCCAGAACCTGTTGCATGCACATCTGTTTTACAGCTGTGGCATATTTGTGTGCAGACTGCTGGTTCAGACGCACTCTGACTTTGGTGGAAGCTGCCAGTTAGTTGACTTTTTTTACTGTATGCTTGTTGGGGGAGGGAGGCAGTGGGTCTATTCTGGTTTTGTCCACAATGGGGACCTGGAATCCACAAAGTTCCAGCATTTGTTCTCTATGGTTAGGTTAGTTGGGTATCCTTTACAGGACGTTGCAGAACCAACCCCAACAGCCCTTGGCTGTTGTGTGGTTTTTCTAGGCACATTTACATCCAGTAGTTTGCCATTGCTTTCTTGACGGTCTGTTTTCTTGATACCACTGTCGAAACCCACACAAGGCGCATGACCCGCAGTTGGGATCGAACCGGGCATCCCGGCATTATGAAGCGTTCCCATCGACTTAAACACAGAGCCGACCGTTCTCTATGACGACCCTGTATTTTTAGACGAAAGGCAGAAGAAGAAGAGAATGTACAAATTTTAGATAAGTGTAAGTTCATATTTGAAGAATTTTTATATTTACAGTGGAAGGGCATTCCGGAAATTTTGTATTTGGTACACTTGGTGGCAAGCAAGTCTTGTTGATGAGAGGCCGACTGCACTACTATGAGGGCTACCCCATGTGGAAGGTAGTTACACTCAATCTTCTTGTGATTTTTTTCTTGGGATCATTTATCGTTTTGCTTCCCCTTGACTGAATGTTAAGTCGAAAGGATTTACTTTACAGCCTCAAGTTTTTATCCAATAGGATGCTCTCTCTCTCTTTCTCTCTCTCTCTCTCTCCCTCCCCCTCCCTCCCTCTCTCTCTCTCCCTCCCTCCCTCTCTCTCTCTCTCTCTCTCTCTCTCTCTCTCTCTCTCTCTCCAAAAACTCTAGTCAAGTGCTGAGAGTGTCACACAAATCATGAACTCTGTAGCTCCAGTGATGATCATCATAAAAATGACACTCATGAACTGAATGACAAACTCACTCTAACCTGTCAACTTGCCTGCATATTTTGACAGCCAGGAACTTCACCCAAAGAAAAGCTTAGTTTTTGTATGTAGTCTTTTGTGCAGTTGTATCAGTGAGCCATTTTATTTGGGTATGCTTTCTAGCTGCAACCCTGCCACCCCCTTTTTAAATTGTATGTGTGTCTCTCTCTCTCTCTCTCTCTCTCTCTCTCTTTCTCTCTCTCTCTCTCTCTCTCTCTCTCTCTCTCTCTCTCATTCCTGATTGTACATTCTCTCATACTGCTGTTGTCATCTCTTCATGTTATCCTCCCACTTGTATCATTGTCTACCCTTTGCTGCCTTACCCTTGACTTTTCTCTCCAGTGTGGTTTTTAAAAGAGTGTTACATCTTTTAATGTGGTCAGAATATGTCAGCTGTCTGCTTTTTATTTATTTCAGTTATTCTCTTTTCATTCATAGTCTTTCCAGAACCTTTGTATTTGATGAGGAACAGCCAACTGCGCACAAATAGTTAGCAAAACTGATGTACACACAGGTACTTCGGCCCTGGCACAAAGCCAGAGTCCTGGTGGATGAACAACCAGGACTTTCCACCAGAGCTTACAGCCAGTAAACAAAATAGAAGAAGATTATTTTTGCTTCGATGAAATTCGACCTATTCTTTTATCTGTCCACATTTTCAGAGACTCACTTCAATTTTCTAGTTGCTTGTTCATTGTCCTAGTTTCTGCACCATACACCAGGGTTGGGTATATGTAGCATTTTACAGTTCTTATTTTTAATGTGTTGTGCATCTTTCTGAGGCGACGTCCGTGGCTTAGGCTTGTAAGTCCCACTCATAATTCCAACGTACTGCGATCAAAATCCACTGCTGGCTGTGTGGATTTTCATCATGGTATGGGGCATCGCAGGTCGACCTAGCCTAAAATGGGTACCAGGATGTATGTCCTGGGGAAATAAAGACAGCCAGCATAATGCTGACCACATTACCTGCCTAGTGTCGATTGGTCTGTAAAAATATGGTTCTTCCCATACGCCCGATGAGCCTAAAGGCGTAAAAAAGGATCTCTCTCAAGTTTATCTTTTTTGCTGTCAAAAATTGTCAATCATTTTTCAAAATTTATCATGGTATTAATATTCTAGTACAGTTTTACACTTTGTGTTGTTATTGTGTTGAAATATAAACAAGTTTTTTCCCTATTTAAGTCCGTATAGGAGGGCTATTGAACTGGCACACGGAAGTGTAGCAAGTGGCCCACACATCATTGCCAGTTGTATTGTTTTAATGATCTTTCTATGCTGTGTCTTGTGGTGTGGACTGGTCTGTGGTGAAGGCTGGTCAGTTTTTTGGTCATGATCTATGGTGTGGACTGACTGATCTGTTTTGTGGGCTTGATCTTTGGTGTGGACTGACTGATCTGTTTTGTGGGCTTGATCTTTGGTGTGGACTGACTGATCTGTTTAGTGGGCTTGATCTGTGGTGTGGGCGGGTCTGTAGTGTGGGCTGATCTGGAATGTAGGCAAGTCTTTAATTTATAAACTGTTAATATTATCTTTGTGGCTGGACTGTGACATGTATTTTGGTGTGAGTAATCTTATTTATAAACATCTTTCAATCCCCAGTTGCATACATCAGATCTTGGTCAGTAACAGAATCATCGCCTAGGACATAGTATTTATGATTGTGTGTTGCAGGTAGCAATGCCAGTTCGTGTCATGAAGGCCATGGGGATTGAAACTCTCCTGTTGACGAACGCAGCTGGGGGTCTGAACCCTAAGTACAACACAGGGGACTTGATGATCATCAAGGATCACATTGACCTGCCTGGTTTAACTGGTGAATGTGTGCTGATTGGGAAAAATGATACAAGGTCAGACTTAGCTCGCTTTGGTTATTGTACTTATACTGACAGATGGGGGGGGATAGATGAATGGATAGCGGACAGAGAAACAAACTAACAGACAGATAGTTAGATAGATTAATGTATGGATGCATTAGAAGAGATTGAATCGATGAAAGGACAGATTTTGAAATAATATTTCTATAGACTGACAGACAACTGTTAAAATTATCATCAATGTATGTTGTCAAAAATCTTTTCTCCATTAGAACACACACACACACACACCCCCCCCCCCCCCCCCCCCACCTTAAAAAAAAATTAAGCTTATCATGAATGGTGTCTATTTAGAAGTTTGCTGGAAATCGAATGTGTCGGAACATTGTATACTTAACAAATTCGGAAGAGCAGCCTTCGTTTGGTCTGTCCAGTCCTGGTCTTAATCTCTGTCCAAGAAGACGAGAATGTCATTTATATTGATATGATTACAATAAACAATAGCAGAGAATTAACCAAGCAAGGATAAGTGACAGTTTATCTGTAGACTAGTCACTATGTCGTAACCATGGTTGATTGAAGAAAAGGGCATACGGTCAGTTTATATCTTTTTCTTCTCTATCTAGTCCTGTTCTGCCTTTCAGCATTTGGTTTTGAAGAGATATCAAATGCGAGACTTAGTATGTGCTACGTAGATGCTGGTATTTACGGTCTTGGATATTAGTTTGAATTATCATCATCATCAGATTTCTCGCTGACAGGTGCGGATGATTGTGCTTTTCCACTATATTAACTAGAGATAAATGTAGCAGGCTTTCTTCTTGACTTTGATTGATGTCGAGATTTCACTGTAATAGCTTTTACTGTCAAAGACAGACCTGAAAGGTGGTTGAGGTATCTGGGTCTTCATCGTGAGGGAAGCAAGAATACACTCACTGCCTGCACAACAAAAAATAAATAAATAATTGTTAAAAAAGAAAGATAAGTACACTGGTAGGGTCAAAAGATTCTTCGAACTGATGCAATAAAGTACATATTATGTATTTTTCACATTATGAACAATAATTATGCATAGATATAATTTTTATGTTTTATGTAAAATTTCTGTAACCTGTTTGAATGAAAATAGTGGTGAACGCGCTCATAAGTCGAGACGACTTAGAGTATATTACAGAGATTGTTGCCCTCCACACATTTCTTCTGAATGACCACAGCCTGTGTTGGTCCATGGCTGCTTATTCAGCACATTCATGGCTAGTCTCCATTCCTAAAGGCCACTCCATCATCGTATGCTGTACTTTTACAACTAAAACATTTGACTTTTAATTTTGCAATGTTGATTCCAGGTTTGGCCCTAGATTTATTGCAACAAATGCAACTTATGATCATGATCTGAGGTCAAAGTTCAAGCAGGTGGTCCTGGAACTTGGTTATGGAAACATTTTACAGGAGGGCGTCTATATCATGATTGGAGGACCAACATTTTCATCCGCTGCCGAAGCTCGTGTCCTGAGAATGTTTGGTGCTGATGCTGTTGGTAAGCTGTTCTGTGTCTGATTTCATGTTTCTATTCAGAACACCTATTGTATTGGTTCTCAGTGGGTTGTGAAGGGGTTTCTGTGGAATCGTGCAGCTATGTTTCTATTCAGAGCACCTATTGTATTGGTTCTCAGTGGGTTGTGAAGGGGTTTCTGTGGAATCGTGCAGCTATGTTTCTATTCAGAGCACCTATTGTATTGGTTCCCAGTGGGTTGTGAAGGGGTTTCTGTGGAATCGTGCAGCTATGAAAATTTTTAAAAGAATAAAAATCACATCATCGTGTCGTGCACAAAGTTCTGTTTGCGGAATGTGGGGGCTGCAGATTTTCAACGCTTCTTCAATTGAAAAACAAAACAAAAAACAGATTAAATATTGTGAATAACATAAGTTGGCATTAATGAAAACTTAGCCACAAAGTTTTTGTTTTACTACAATTTATACCAGCAGTTGTCTAGACATTTCTCTCTTCACATTTCCCCGCTTTTCTTGAATTCATCCTCAGTCATTAACAAAACGATATTCAAGATTTGTCTTTCTCTGGGTTTCTCTAACAGGCATGAGTACAGTCCCTGAGTCTGTGGTTGGCCGCCATAGCGGCATGAGAATATTTGGCGTCTCACTCATCTCTGACATGGTTGACATGGAGGACGGATCCAAATTTCTGGTTACTCACGAAGATGTCCTTAAGACCGCCAATGAAAGGGCCTTGCTGATGCAGAAAGTGTTCGTTAAATTTATACACTTAATTGATTAATTCTACTCTCTCTTACCCTTGGATGTTAAATGTATTAGTTTTTAACTTTTACCATTAGATATTAAATGTATGTAGTTAATTAATGAGTGGTTCACTCTAATCCTTGCATGTTAAATTTATGCAGATGATTTATTTTAGTCTGTTTGTTATTGAATTTATGTGGAATCTTTTATTCTTCATTTTTATTCTAAGATTGTTACTGAATTTATGTGGAATCTTTTATTCTTCATTTTTATTCTTAGATTGTTACTGAATTTATTTGAAATTTTTTGTTCTTTATTTTTATTCTTGAATTTTGGTTCTTCATTCTTACCCCTGAATGTTAATTTAAAGTTAGCTGATTAGTTCTTTGCTCTAACTCTGGAAATTTTACAAATAATTGATTAGTTCTACACTACACTCTTACTTTTGGCTGTTAAATTTATGCATTTGTTAATTTACTTGTTCTAAACTTTTACCCTTGACCATTAAATGTATACAGCTTATTAATTAGTTTGTTCTCTAGTTCTTGGACGTCAAATTTATGTAAATAATATAAATTGAGTCTCTTTTATACTAAATTTATGAGGAAGATTTATTTCTTCATTCGTCTTCTTGGGTGTTAAATTTAGTTCTTCGTTTTTACGGCTGGAGGTTAATTTATAGTTAGTTGATTAGTTTTTTGCTGTGACCCTTACACACTTGATTCATTAATTTTTAGCTCTTACATTTGAATGAATGTGTTCAATTATAAATTTAATTGATTAACTCCACACCTTGAGCTTTATATATCTGAGACCATTTTTCTGACAGACATTTGTGGATAGTTTCTAGATTTTCACAGTTTTCAGCTAGTATTTATTTTGCTGTATCTTTACTTTTTATAGTCTGAGAGACATTTATATGTGCTACAAAATGAAACATCCAGTTGTGTTTATTTGTTGCAACAACAAAGGAACAAATATAAATAGCTCAGTCTTGTTCATATTTGTTCATTTAAAGGATTTATGGGAAATTATTTGTAATCTGCAAATATGTAAATTTTTTATAGATGAATTATGAGAATACCATGAAGAGATTAAAAGTTGTAATGAAAATATCTGGAAAGAAGTTGATTCACAAAGATAAATGAATCCCTAGAGGAGAGAGTGCATTCCTTGATCTCTGGGTGAAGAGAGAAAACTGGAGTATGTAGTGTTACTGGATAACTCAGTAGGAAAAAAGAATGAAACAAATAAAGTTTGTTTCTAATGGGTCACAAACTGGACACATAGTATTATATTTGGCTTTTTCAAACATTCATCTTTTACACAGGAGTTGTATTTTAAATATCAAGCATTTTATGTTCATTTTTTAAAATGCATAGCATGAATGTAAAGTAAAAATATAGAAGCATGGACTGCAAATGCATACCTTCGAATATAGATGCAAAAATGCACACACAGTGCAGACACACAAAGAAAGGAAAAAAAACGAGGCAGATATAAACACATACACAAGCATACTCAAGGGTGGGCGCGTGCGCGCACACACAGAGGCGCACACATTGATAACACACACACCCGACACAACATACACAGGCATACACAGATCGTGCTAGTACACACGCACAGGTACACATTCACAGACAATACAGAGACAATACAGACACAGCAGACAGACATGACACACAAACACAACATATACGAACGCATGCATGCAGACATAACACACACAAAGACATCGCACACGCACACACTAGACACACAACACATAGGAAATATGAGACCAATCTAATGGACAGTTTGGCAGCATGGTATGAACGAACATCTGCATCAGAAATTATTGAAACACATGAGACAGAAGTGATGTGGCTGGACATGATTACCAATGACACACACGGCATGGGTTTTAAGACAAAAAAGTCCTAGTGTGGGTTTGGGTGGAAGAGGGGTGGGGGGGGGGGGGGGAGGAGGGAATAGACCCACCATACCTTAACAACCATGTCATTAAAAAAAAAAAAACAGGGAGGCTTAAATAATGTGGACACAAACAATACATTGCACAATTTATTGCCTGCCTGATCAGGTGACTGATTTCGAATTTCCAGCGGATAGATATACACAGACAATGGCAGTAAATTGTGCCATGAATTGTTTGTGTGCGCATTATTTAGATTCAGTAAGGGTTTGCTGAAATTCAGTTTGTTGAATTGAAAGGCACAGATATTGCAACCTGTGTTTTAACTACAGCTCGTACAAACCGCCTTTATAAGGGGGAGTGCAGAGAAAGCCAAGTTGCTCTGCTACTTTGCAGTTCTAAAATATTAGTTCCTTTGGAGATAAAAAGCAAAGTAAAGATCCCTTTTCATGCCTTTAGACACATCTGGCATATGGGAAGAGCGCCCATATTTTTACAGACCAATCGGCACTAGGTGGATAATGTGGTCAGCATTACGCCTCCCTTGGAGATAGTGCTTAGAAATGAGGTGTCTTCTTTGCCAATGCTATTATTTAAGAAGCACCACACAACACTGGCCTTCTGTGGGTTTTCTCTTGACGCAGTCTGTTCATGGAAATAAAAGTAATTAACTACATGGTATTGGCGAGACTCGGAATGAAAAACAGAGTTGTTGAAAGACATTGAAAAAAGAATGTATACGGGTAGAAGGTATATACTTAGCTGTTTGCTATTTTTTGCGAATATTATAACTGGCATAATTTTATACACGTTGTTTTTGTTACTCATGAATATCTATGCCATTACGTGTTCACTTATATTCAGTTATTTTTTGCATTTGAAACAGTATGATGGGATTCTTCATATTCATGATGTTTTATTCTTTGTTTTAATAACTTAGTGTTTCCTTTTAATACATACATAAACAGATTTTTTTTTAATGTATTTAGATTATTTTTTTATGTTTATTAGCATTGGTGCTTATTAGAGCTGCTGTTTGAGTAGTTAAGAATGCTTGGCTCTCACTCAGGAGGCTGGAGGTTTGAATCCTTGGTGAGGTGATGGATTTTTTTTTTCTGTGGATGGCCAGAATAAAATTACACAGTGCTAGGTCGCTGCACTAGCAATACAGCCCTAAACCCTCTGGCTCAGGAGCTCCCTCTCCCAGACTTACCTAAAGTGGTAAAGACAGGCAATAAAGGCTTGTCTTTTAAGTTTGTATGTTTTGTTTGCACTTTTTAAATGCTTCTTCTTAAAGTCCATGACGTGAAGTGCTGGTTGTCATGTCTATCTGCAACCTTCTGTCTCGTATTTGTCGTATGGCAGTTTTGTCGCGCACCTTTACTTACGGAATATTTTCACAAATCCCTCAGGTGCTCTGAGACAGGGGTGTTTTGAATGGTGGCTCTCGTTCGTCTAGAGGCTTAACCCTCGGTTCAAACTTTCCATTCAACCTGTCTCAGGAATGAGGTGACTCGAGCTCTGACTCCACAGGGTTACTATGAACTCTTGGGTACCTCTCGGCCAGACGTCCTCATTACTAAATTGCCCCCAGACTGGTAAACAATGTAACACAGTCAAATATGTAAACAACAGTGAATATGACAAGACGTGAATACCTTTCTGATTACGACAATTAATTCACCAACAGCAAACCTTTTGAAGAACAGAAAGTCTTGTGAACTAAAACTTCGATGTATTCAATACTTCATAACACGGAAGATCAAAAGCAGCACGAAGAACTAGAATGATTGTTCCATTCTCTGAAGAATAAAGAATAGAGAAAAGTCTTTCTACAAATCTACATCTCTCTCCGGAATCATCTCTGCACGGAGGTATGAGACAGATTATGAAGGCACATCTGGAATCAAGCCGCCACAGAATGTTACTTTGACTTATCTGGTTGGATCCTGCAGCTCCTCAGGGTGCCGGAAGATGAAACTCTGCAACGTCTCACTTCTCAGATCATCTCCGCACAATAGATAATACCACTGGAATTGATTATAGGACAATCAACTCCCCAGAGACGGGTAAATGTAGACTTTGCACACAGTCCACATATTCAGTAATGGTTGAACAACGCACGTCAGTTGCTTCCTTGGTGATGGCTGGTGGAAGAGCACGACTACGCCACGGACGCTTGTTGGATCTTCAAAATCCTGAAATTAACAAGGCAACACACATGAGCGAACTGTACCCAATGCACCTAGTTAATCACTATCCTTACCACCTCCACATGCTCAGATATAATTAAGGCTAGTCCAAACCATGAAGGTTGACTTCCTACATCTTGGAACCCGTGCAGTTTCCTAGAGTGAGCACTAGAGTCGTACGTACGTTTCCATTAACTCGAATAGTTTCTGAATTCAGTCCTGTAGCGAAAGCCAGACAGATCTCTATCCTTCCCCATCCCTCTTTATACACCCTTTTCACTAGCTGGAAAGATAAGGTATAGGAGATGAAGACAAAACGAAGATCGAAGGAAATATGCTCCGAAAGCATTTCTACAGTCTAAGCTTGTTGTGGTTACAGTAGCTCCTAGCAACAGCGGATATGACGTCATGCCTGACCCGAAGCTTCTTGTCCTTTTCAACGGTCCAGCGACTCAACAAGTTCAGAGACCGAACAACTGATCATACAAAGTTAACAATACCATAAATACACTCCAGATATGCGGATTGATTGATCCGAAGATGTTTAGAAAGCCGGCTCGAAGAATTCACAGAGAAATTTCAGCCAAAAGTGCATTCCAACCAGGATCGCTATCTGTCGTCTTTCCTCGCAGGCGATCGTAGGCAAACAGATTCGCATTCTCAATCTGCTGACCTTTCTTACACACACAAACAGGCATTGAGCACAAATATTCAATTAAATCCTTTTAGGAAAACTCACCCATGATAAATGGAAAAAGAGAATAAAGAAGCTTGTCTTTTTAATGGTCAAGTGGCTACAAAATGCAATACGTTCGCTCACTTGAACGGACCATGAAGAAGTGACGTATAAAAATACAGTCCCTATCTACGGCAGTTGGTGTAAGAATATGGCTCAAGTATACTGTGAAGCGGTCAGACAATTTATCTTAA